ATTGTATTCTTATTCAAAATTGTTCTTTATAAAATACGAAAATTCACCCAATTAAAGTACTAAATTGCATTGAAATGAAAAATATACATTAAATACGGAGGATATTACAATTTTTTACAACTTTTGTTTTAATTTTTCTATTTTTCAACAATTTTAACCACTGACTCAGCCAGATTCCTACGCACTGTGCTAAGTTTGCCTTGCTAATTCTTGTTGCTTATTTCCACTATTTCACTTTGCTCAGCCAACTACAATCAAGCGCAGCTATTCCGCTTCAATTCACTTGATCATGTGGTTGTTGGTTTTGTTGGGTTTTGTTAATATTTCTGTTATTAGAATGTTTAACTTTTAGGTGTGCTCGTCCTTAAGTTATTTGTTTTTTTATTTTATGGCCTTATAACAATTATATTCAACCATTTTTATGAGCTTTCTAGTAAAAAATGGTAACTTCTGTCAACTTCAACATAACCTCCAAATTTTGGTTGTAAATTTTTGCTTATTTTGTATATAAACACACTCAGCTCACACATGTAAATAACCAAAAATACTTTCAAATTCATTAGAATCCACTTAAACAAGTAATTAAATACTTTTCAACATGAATTAGCCGAGTGCACTTTTCTTTTGTTTACAATTTGGTTGCCAAACACGCTAGAGCTGATCGTTTGACACATTTACCAGAATTTACCATTCTAGGACTAAAACTGGTAACTTCTGACAGAGAGATAACCGTATTTGCCTCCTTTTTGTCCTCTCAATAGTCAGAGAACCGAGTACGGGATCGATTTCCAGTAAAATCTGATTGATTCTGACTGTTTCTGACTAGTCCGGACTCGTACGGGATCGCAACTTATTTGTGTTTGAATGTTAATGTAAATGTATGTGTGTGCATTTCCGGGATACAAAAGAATGCGTGTGTTTGCGTTTAGGATTGAGTGAAAGTCCAGCTGAGAAGGGAAATTTTAGCACTTCACAGGTATATTGGGCGCACGATCGCTAAGCTAAAGACAGGCTAATGTCAGAAAAGAAAGTGACTTCGAAACAGTTAGAAGTGTGTCGCGGGTAGACAGTTTA